TCTTACGAAAAGCACACCACACAGCTTGGCAGCAGTGGCCAAGTTCTCAGGAGTCGGGAACTCAATGGGAATTGGGAACTCAAAGAGTGTGGGTGTGGGTGTAGGCAGGGGTGGGAGGGTGCTCAATCCTATTTTTTCTAAAAAAAAGTTTTTTTCGAAAGTTTTGTTTAATGCAGAAATGGACTTTTGAGAAAAAGTAAAAATTTTCTAAAACACCCCAAAATTTTGTTACAAAAAATTTTTTTCAATGTAGACAGAGACTTTTTGAGCAAAAATGAATTTTGTCGTAAAGAAAAAATTTTTTACACAAAATTTTGGGGTGTTTTAGAAAAATTTTATTTTTTCTCAGAAAGTCCATTTCTGCATTAAAAAAAATTTTCGAAAAAATAGGACTTGAGGATCTCCCCACCCCTACCTACACCCACACTCTTTGAGTTCCCATTGAGTTCCCGACTCCTGGGAACTTGGCCAGGTCACGCAATTTAACATTAAATCCAATAGATTTTCGAAAATAACCATGGGAGGCACCAAATTCAAACAATCAAGCGAAAAGATGAAAAACTCGCCGCCGATCTCGTCTTTAAATATATTACCGTCAATTCCGATATCTCCATTAGAAATTAAAATAGACTATCTCGAAACATTCATATTAGTCAGACTAGATTCATGTATTGATAACAATGAAAATAATAGATTATTAGAAAAATATTTCCGTCAATATTTGACATGTTTTGTGAGATTCAACAATCTAAAATTATGTAAGCAATGGTTCAAAAGTCATCCTAAAGACAAAAGAATTCTTCTTATTGTAAACGGTGATCTAGTAACGAGGGCTTTATCTAGTATTCATCATTTAAAGTCGATCGTTGTCATTTATATATTTTGCTCGAAATCCGAATTATGTATCATATTGATTCATCCTTACCCTAAAGTGCGTAAAATAACTTCAAAATCAGAAGAAATTTTAACAGATAAAATTTATTTTGAAAATATTGAAGTTTCAAGAAGAATTAATATATTTCGAAATCTATATCAAGATAAAGTTTTCAATGTTGACAAGGCTTGATTTCTATGGCATCAACTTTTTCTTGAAATTCTTCTCTCATCATCTTATTTGAAATCATCTGCTTCATCTAATGAACTCATCCAAATACTTCGTCGATATAATTCAAATGACGAAAATTTATTAAATTTAATCAAAGAAATCGAAGAAACATATTAGAAACAAGAAGCTATCATATGGCTAACAAAGAGTACATCATTAGAATGTTTTGTAACTAAGGCTTTACGTGAACGAAATATGTCTATGCTTTTTTATCTTCGTTTCTTTCTCATGGATATTCACAATCAATTGATCATTCATCAATTAAAATCTGCTCATGTCTATCAAAAATAATTTATGTCATTGACAACTGTTGAAAATTTCAGAAATAAGCCGAATGATTATTTAGTATTTAATGAATTTCTTTTCGCTTCAACACAATCATCTCAGTATTCATCGATTGATATCAATGATAGTCAATGCTAACTTATTTTCATTGAAATCTATGTTGAATATCGAAATGGAACGTCACCTTTCGCTTGTGTTCAAGAAATGACTGATGTGAATGACGATAATGATGATGGTTTAACAATTATTTTGATGTGTGGTTTGATATTTAAAATTATTTTATTTGAAGAAAATTATAATTCAACTTGGGATCTTCAATTAATACTGATTGACGATAAACAGTTGACTATATTAACTAATCAGAAAGATAAATTACGACAAAATAAAGATTTAGCAATAATTGCTGAGTTACTAGAGCATGGAAATCAAGCAGATGTGGCCAATATCTATACTCAACATATATCGCGAACATTGGTATACAATCAAAGTTTAACTGTTTCAATAAACCAAGCAACGAACATGAAACTCGCGGTTCAACCACGTATGTGCCTAGACGATCGAAACTACTAAGTGCAAGTAACGCTCATCGAAAGTCGATTCACTCAACCCTAGACTGATGACTGGTAGAGAAACAGAAATTCGTCTATATCTGTCTGTCTGTAACACTTGGTGCAAATGACAAAAAAACTGGCATCATGACCATAGCAATGCCCTAGATAAACACAATACGATAATTTCGGTCATACTTATCGTTCTTTGGAAAAAATTGTTCGAACATTTTATTGTAATTGTGGTCATTTATGCCAATGACTTGTTTCAGACAGACAGACACAGGTAAATTACGATTTTCACACTGTATTCTTTCAGTCTAGGAAATAAAACAAAATATTGTGAGAGTGGATGAATCGGTGTAAAGAATACCAATGCCGATATTAGTAGCTAACCCTCGCCCCCCCCCCCCCCCCCCCCCCCCCCCCCCCCCAAGAAACCCACTCGCCTCGCTTCTC